ATTTTTTTAATCTTGTGAGTATATGTGTCTGTACATAAGCCTGTGGACATGAATGCAGCACCAGAAGGGGCCAGAGAGTGTTAAGTTCCATGGAGCTGAAGTCACAGGCAATTGTGAGTATCTTGACAGGGGTGCTCAGAACTGATCTCAGATCCTCTGCAAGAGCAATATGTACTCTTAACCACTGAACCATCTTTCCAGGCCATTGGTGTAGCACAAATCTTAAAAGGTCTTATTAATAAAAACAAACCCGGAGCCAGGTATTGGGGTGAATGCTGAGAGATCAGAGAAACAGAACAAGCCACATCCAACCTCACCTTGCCAGCTTTTCAGCTGATCTTGTTTCCTCAAGCTGGAAGCCTCTGAGTCCTCACCCGAATGGATCTCAGCTGAACTGCTGCTCAAAGGCCTAAAAGCTTAAAAAGACCTTTAGTTACTGGTCCTCATGCCTTATATACCTTTCTGCTTCCTGCCATTACTTGCTGAGATTAAAGGCGTGTGTCTTTCCCAAGCAAGACATGAGATCTCAAGTCCTGGGATTAGAGGTGTGTGCCACCATGCCTGGCTTCTATATCTATCTAGTGGCTATTCTGTTCTCTGAACCAGATAAGTTTACTGAGGTACACAATATATCAACCACACATTGGCATGTTTATTTTAAAACCTAAGTGATCCTCTTATCTTTACCAGTATTACAAGTGGGCTGTGAATTAGTGAATTAGTGTTGGAATGCAAACTGTTTATTTTCATGTACAAAGAAATGAGCACAGAAATTAAATATAAGAATACAACTACTTGAGTGATTTAATATTAACTTCTTCTCAAGTAAAGATTTGACTGGTGTTTTGTAGGCCTATTTCCTTTTTTAAATAATTCTCTTTAATATATTCTTAAACAAATTGGCTTCTGTGGTGTTTTGAATAAGTATGACCCCCATAGGCTCATATATTTGAATGCTTAGTCATCAGGGAGTGGCACTATTTGAGAAGGATTAGGAGGTGTGTACTTGTTGGAGTAGGTGTGGACTTGGAGGAAGTGTGCTACTGGGGGTGGGCTTTGAGGTTTCACAGCCCATGCTAGACCCAGTTTCTCTCTCTCTCTCTCTCTCTCTCTCTCTCTCTCTCTCTCTCTCTCTCTCTCTCTCTCTCTCACCACGATGTAGCACCCAGCTGTTGCTCCAAGATGTACCACATGTGCTGTCACGCTCCTTGCCATAATGATAATGGACTAAGATAATATAAGAAAGCCCGCAAACTAAATGCTTTCTTTCATAAGACTTGCCTTTGTCATAGTGTCTCTTCACAGCAATAGAAGAGTGACCAAAACCGCTTCTCCCAGAAAGAAACCAAGAAAAGAAAACTGATGCTTCCTCCTAACGAGTTTGACAGGTGCTGACCTATGGATAAGGTCAAGGCTTTGTTTTTTTACAACATGTAAGATGTTCTCTATCCTGACCTAGACCAACTCTACCCTTTCCATTCCTCTGGTCCTTCATAGTGTCATACTCTAGCCACATCTGGATCACAAGCATTGGACTTTTACAAATGTTGTTTGAGAGTGAACTCAGGTCTTTGCCATAGCAAGACGTGCATCTTGCCAACTGAAGCCTCTCCCCAGCCCTCATCTTCCTTGTCTAAAAGCTTTTCTTCTAAAGTCTGAGTTTCTGCTCGTGGCCCCTGCTAATATTTGGCAGATAGCAGGTACTCAAATTGGTGCTGGTTAAAGAAATTACAGCATGGCCCCTCTTGAGTTACAGACGTTTATTTCTGTATTCTCACACTAAAGTTCAAAGCTAGAGAGTATCTCCTCAGAGACTCCCTCAATGCTTCACACAGAATACGTACTTAACAAATTGGTGCTGGGGATGAATAACTCACAAACAGCAGAAGAGACTATTGAACTCATATGAAGTACCTATGAAGACTTAATATGCTAAGAGGAATTGGTTGACGACTGTGGGGTCACATGGGCCTTGAGTTGAGCTTTTCTTCCTAGAAATCATTAGTTTGGTTAGGTATGGAATAGATGAGCACTTCTGTTTAACTTGTAGTAAAACTGAACATTTGGCATGGGGCCATAGGCTTGTGCCTGAATCTTAGTTCTACTGGGTCATCACTAAATAACCCCTTAGGTTAACTCACTCCTCTCATAACACTTGAGATCTGTGGTCATTTTGATGAGGAATGGCACCTCTAGGCTCCCGTATTTAAACTCTCGGTCTCCAATTGACAGTGCCGTTGGGGAGGTTATGGCACCTTTAGAAAGTACAGCCTTGCTGAAGGAAGTGTATCCATCACAGAGTGGGGAAGCTTGGGACTTGGGCGAGGGGTTAGCTCCATCCCACTTCCCGTTCTCTCTCTGCTTCCTGTGTGGGGATGAAATGTGATCAGCCAGCGCCTGCTCCTGCCACAACACCATGCAGTACCTTCCCTGCCAGGATGGACTCTGTCCTCCTGGAACCATAAACCAAAAGAAAGCTTTTCTTCCTTAAGTTGCTTTTGGTCATGGTATTTCACCACAGCTACAAACAACTATCCCAGGATCCAGAAAGCAGAGATCTCCTTTATTGCCCTGGGTAACTAAAATCAAATATCTGTCACTAAATGCCTTCCTGACAGATTCTCAGGCTACATAAACAGCCAGCTAATGATCTGGGTCTGCAGAAAGTATCACTGTGTGTACCTAGTATATAAGACTGGAGTGGGCAGTGAGAAATGGAAGCACCTTCTAACCATTGCCATGGTGACAAGCCATTTCAGTTTCTCCAGAACAAACATAACTTGTCATTAGTCCTCATTTCCACTGTGACAGGACATCACAACTAAAGAATCATTAACATCTTAATGCTGTGCGCACGGACAGGTTGTTTGCTTCTGCTAGGCAAGAGCTAAGAATACTCTCTTGGGTCCTTATTGACGGGGATTCCACACCACACTGGAAGACTGGAAAGGAGATATATTTTGATTACATCCTTAAGGCAACTTATGTGAAAAGATGCCTCCATCTGATTGGAAATAACCATCTTAGAGAGCGTTTTGTGGAAGCATGATGTTTTCATTTTCCCAGAGCACTCTGTCTCTTACATAAGAGACTTGACAATTGTTTTGTTGGCTCCTGTGAAATCCTCTGGAAAAGATTCTTACATAGTTGACTCTAATCAATGCATAGAGGAGTGTGGTGGAATATTACTTTACTATATAAAGATATATTACATTTGTTCATGTTGCAGAATATTACTTTAACTATGTAAAGATGTTACATTTGCTTATGTCACAGAATATTACTTTAACGGTATAAAGATGTGTTACATTTGTTTATGCTGCATTTGTTTAATCATGTAAAAATGTGTTGCTTTACACCTAATTGGTCTAATAAAAGTTGAATGGCCAATAGCTAGGCAGGAGAGGGATAGAGGGGGTTGGTAGGCAGAGAATAAGTAGGAGGAGGAATCTAGGTTTGGAGAGAAGAGAGAAAGAGGGAGAAAAAGAGGAAGATGCCAGGGGCCAGCCAGCCAGGCAGCTACCAGCCAGCCAGACATGAAGAAAGCAAGAAAAGTAGGACATACAGAATGAAAGAATGGTTAAAAAAAAAAAAGCCCTGAGGCAAAATGGAGATGAAGAGAAACAGGTTAAATTAAGTTATAAGAGCTAGTGGGCCAAGCATATGATAAGGCTAAACATTCATAACTAATAATAAGTTTCCGTGTCTTTATTTGGGAGCTGGTTGGTGGCCCCAAAAAAGCCTGCTACAGAGGAGCTCAGAGTTCTGTCTCAAAATATGTTTATTTTGCTTGAATGATGGTACTAAAATTTTTAGAATGAGTATACCTATGGAACTGATCACATATTGGAAACATTGAAATACTCACTTTGTTACTATGATTCACTCAAACGCTATAATCAGGAAATTTGGCTACGCCAGTAGAAACAGACCTGCTACATTGTCTAATACATAGTAGATTACTTAAAGCTATTTGTTGAATAAATAAATCATCAACTATTGTTAACCTGTAGACATGTGATTATAATCACATGTAACATCCCAAGAAGTCCGGGAAACGAAAGCAAGGCTACATCTCACCTTTATATATGGAGCTGGTTGTTCAACTTTCAGTTCTTGGCCCACATTTTTTGATTCAGTCTTCAATGCCTTTCCTTACTTTTCCATATAATAAACCTTTTAAACCTCTGAGTTATCTATAATGAGCTCATGTGTGCCCAACCAGGGGACACCCCCACCCGAGGGACCATGCCAGATTTACTTATTATTCCCTAAAAGCCACACATATTCAACTGTGAACTCCAGTCACCACCTAGAACAGAGGGATGTGTCTGACTCAGGCAAGATGTGTCCTACTGAGCTCTGCATTTATTTACTTATTTATTTGGGGCTCAATAAATGTTTGTGTTGTTCTTTTTTGTTTTGTTTTGTTTTTTAAGATCTCAGTAGAGGTGAGAACAAGAATTTGGATACAGCTAGAATTTATTCAGTGGAAATAATAACACATTGATTGCTTCAAATCTGAATTATTTAGTGACCTAGCAGTTGTCTCTGAAAAGCTGCCAAGATTTCAACCCTGCTGCCTAATGCCAGCATCCATGTTTTGGTTGCCATATCCTGAGGCACATCAGAGGTTGTAGAAGTAGACTGGAGAAAGTGCCGAAATTTCCGGAGGGGGTCGTTCAGTTTAGCATTTGCAAGTGCCTCTGAGAACTGACTAAACTCTGTCTCCAGGCTTCACATTTTACTGAACCGTGAACATGAAAGAAAACATTCTGGCCGGGCGGTGGTGGCGCACGCCTTTAATCCCAGCACTCGGGAGGCAGAGCCAGGCGGATCTCTGTGAGTTCGAGGCCAGCCTGGGCTACCAAGTGAATCCCAGGAAAGGCGCAAAGCTGCACAGAGAAACCCTGTCTCGAAAAACCAAAAAAAAAAAAAAAAAAAAAAAAAAAAAAAAAAAAAAAAAAGAAAACATTCTGGCTATACTTTGTCAGCTTGTCCTCCATGGCTGGGCCGAGACAGCATTGGTCAGTCAGCCATTTTTAAAAGAGACTAGAGTCCCTGTGTGTGTGTGTGATATTCAGGTTTTGCTTTCCAGCACCTTCATCTAAGTAGCAGCAGTCTATAAATACGTTATGAGCCAAAGGACACGAAGCCAAAGCGCCGATGCCAGAGTGAAGCTCTCATCTTGAAGTTGTAGGATTTCACGTTTTATCCGAGTTTATTTTCCTCGGACGTGAAGGGTTGTGACAGAGGTAAAACCAGGACCTCACTGAAGGAATGGCCCTTATTTTACGTCTTACTTGTGTCTTTCTGCACGGAAAGGCACTTCCCGAGAGGCTCCTTAAACACTCGCAGTCTCCAGGCAGTGGTACTTCAATGTCTTTCAAAGCATGAAAAGCTCCCCCAGCCCGGCAGCCCCCCCAGGTGACTTGCTGGACCTCACAGCTTCTCTGCTGCACCAGTGTTTGATCTTGCACACACTGAACTGCAGTCCTTGGGCCTTGGACTAAAGAGAGCTCCCAGCACTTACATAAAGGCTACTTTGAGCATTCTGCCAAGGACTCGGGAGACACTTTTTTCAAAGAAACAAATACATTTGGTTTCCAGAGTTAGCAAGAGGCCAGGTCAAATTTCTTTCTTCTTTTCTTTTCTTTTTCCCCTCCCTACTCCTTCCTTTGCCCTGTCTCAGTCTGGTATGTGTCTAATTATACACAGGGCTCAAGGGGAAAACACCTAAAATGACTTCTTCAGGTAGAATGTGCAATAGGAGGAAATCTAGGCCATTGCTGTCCTCCAGAAATTCAAATGAACAGAGTAGCCTCTGTCTGCATGTTGGGGCCAACAAGCATTTAAACAGGGCACAAGAGAGGCAATGTCATTCACAGGCTCACATTGCTGAAAATATAATCATTCTTCTTTAGCTATAAAAATAGATTTTTTTTCAGGCTTTATACATTGTTCTTCAAATGTCTCCAATGTGAAATCCCTGAAGTGTCTACACAAATTGGGAAAAGTCGGAGAGCCTAGCTAGAATTTCCTTTGGCCTTGAGCATAATCTGAGCACTATAGTTTGTTCCAGCACTAAAGCTGTGCTCAACCAATTGCCATAGCCTGTGATCAGACTTAACCAATGGGCCAGGGTTGCCAAAGCCTAAGCATGAAAGGTATCTATCTGTATGAATATGAGGAAGCCTGGGTATAACTCAATGGTAAAGGAGTGAATATAAGCAAAGAATTCATCAGTGAACTCTTCTCTACCACTGGCATACTAAGATTTGTATTTGAAGTCATTCTATTCAAGTACAGTATCATTATAATTTTTTCTGGTCATACAATGAGTTACAAGTTGAGTGAATTTTAAATTTGTAATTCACAACACATGTAGTTTGTGCCCAATGCATTACCATATGCTTTGGAAATGCCCTTCATATTATTTATTCATTCAAACATAATATTGAGTACCAGGTACCAGACATCTGTTTTAAGCTTTGCTGATAACTGTGTACTGGTGCAGAGACACACATGATGTAACTCATTAATTAATTAATTACAAAAAAAAGTGATAAAGTAAAGCTGGATTCAACATGGAGATGGATATAGAGGGGAGCATTTAGAGAGAGTATCGAGCAGAAAAACCTTCTCAAACAGCCATCTAAAATGTGAAAGACATCAGCTATGCAAACTCCAGAGAGATGATTTTCCAGATAAACCTAGGAGAGATAAGAAGGAAGCCCAAAGCCTTTAGTGAGCTTCCATTTGGTGCATTTGAGAAAGGGTCAGGATGGAAGTTGGGTGTTTTGGTGAAAAGTTCTAACTGCAAGTCAGGGACACATCCTGCAGGGCTTTCAAGGCTATGGTCAGGCAGTTCACGTTTTATTTATTTATAGGATAAGGAGTAGCCTTGCTGCATACTTTAAATAATTTAAAAATGAGACTGAAGTCAGGAGAGAGATTTGGTAAGGGGGTGTATTGGAGTAGTTGGAGATGGAAAATGAGGGATGGATATAATCAAGATACATTGTATATATGTATGAAAATTTAAAGAATCAAAAATCAGGAACAGTGGAGTGAGTACTGCTCTTGCAGGGATCCCAAGTTCACTTACCGGCATCCATGTCAGAAAGCCCATAATACCCTGGAGCTGAGCTCTGGTGAGATCTGAAGGTGTGCACAGACCTACACAGACAAACACACATATACACAGCACTTAAAATGATTAAAACAAATCTTTAAAATCAAAAAAGGGAGTATCAAAAGATGATCCTGCAGAGTTAATCTTAGATTCACTATAATTAATCATAACCATTGCTATTAAGTCAATATTACAGTAATCCAAAGGTAAGAAACATTGAAACTATGAGGAAAGTGCCCTCTATTGAAAATTCAAGAGGAGGGGCTGAGGCAACGAAGCCGATATTTTGGGTGAAGGAGCTGACACTCACCTTCTACCTGGAAACTGCCCAGGCAACTGTTCGTGTTGGTAGATTCTTGCACATGCTGGCCCCATGTTCTTTCCCACTCCACTTCACTCCATGTGTTTAAGGCTTAGGAACTCCAGGATATGCTTCTGGCTTGGTTAAATAGCTCACATTGCCTTTTGATGTTGCTTCTCTCTCATCCTTGTTGATGAGTCACTACAAAAGAAGTTTCTTTCACAAGCTTCCAGCTCTGCCTTTGTTGCTTGAGTTGACAAGGAGATGCTGTGGAAAAATCTGACACAACTGGCTGTTTGTTTGCGTGGAGGGCCCTAAGGTGGGGATAAATAATTCAAAGTGGCTTTTATGATCTCTCCGTCAGTCAGTCGCTGGGTGACAAAATTAAAGGGATCAAGCTATAATGGAAGAGGGAGAACTAAGAAAGAATTTGAAGAAAATCATAAAGTAAGATTTTGCAGAACATGTTTACTGAGTGCACACAATGCAAGAGCACAAAAGGATTAAATGCCTGTGTTCACAGCGTGTGCACTTGAATCCCCAAGACAATGCAGTCACTAAAAATTTTACCACCATTGCATAGAAGGAAATCAACACAGTGAGGGAGGAAGTTGCTCTTTCTCCTGGAGGGCTTGCCTTGAACCTGCTGGAGTTGAAAGTCCCTTCCCAATGTCCTTGGAGCTACTTCTTTCTCAACTCTTTAGGACAGTGGATAAAAACAGGCTGCAAACATTTGGAAATAACTTGAGATATCAAATTACCATGATAAAGCTATTATTTTGCTGGCATTTGAATAAACATGTGGTTTAAATAAGAAAGGGGCATCTTCTCAGGTCAAACTTACAGATAAGAATGAGATGCCCATATTATTATACAATGAGTGTCTGGGTTGCTAAGCAACACTTGCATACCTATTTGCAGGTAACATTTACATGTAATCTATAATAAGGTGCATACATTGCATTAAAATATCCACTATGCAAAACACATTATATAGATTACTTACAATATGTATAAATTTAACAACTCATTATTTTGTAATATACTCATAATATTGATGTACCTACGGCACATGATATACCACTATTATCGATTATATTGATTATATTTTAATATGTATGATGTGCAGACAATAATATTTGTATATTTTTCATAGCTTAGTCATAGCTGGTCATAACTTATTTATAAAATTATATTAAAACATAGATTCAGCTGTCCTGGTGACTGACAGAAAGGTGAGAAGTTCAAAGTCTACTTGGACCACGAGTGAGTTCAAGATTATCCTGGGCAGCTTAGTGAGACCTTGTCTCATAATTAAAAATAAAAACAAGCCTAAAATATAGCTCAGTAGCATCATGGTTGCCTGGTGTGCATGGGGTGTGGGTTCAGTGCATAGTCAGGCGTCTTGAGTTGTGAGTTTTTACAATTTTATCAATTTCCCCAATTTCTCAGGGTTTCGTGTTTCCACTTTAGAGAAGGGAAACATTTTACTAAATATTTCTAAGGCTTGAGGAAGCACTTCTCAAAAACAGACCTACAAATAACCTGTGTGTGTGTGTGTGTGTGTGTGTGTGTGTGTGTGTGCACGTGCATGCTTGATGTTATTTATCATCGGGGGTGATGTAAATTAAACCCACAATGAGATTTCACCTCAAAAATATTAGAACAAACATTATCAATAAGACCAAAAATCCAACAAATGTTGAAGAAGATGTTGAGAAAGGGGGAAAAGGGAATCCTTGCACATTTGTTAGTGGGAATATAAACCAGTTACAAAGGAAATTACATCAGTATATCAAAAAGGTGTCACTGTGATCACTGGATATTTGTCCTTTCAACAAGAAGACTCAGAACAATTTACTAAAAAAGCTACTACTTCACATTTTATGTTGAGATACAAAGAGATCAGCAACTTATTAGCAGTTAATAAATCACTCACTGATTGGGATTTAAGAATTTGAGCCTGCCCCAGCATCATGATTTTCTGCAAAAGGCTGAAGAGCAGGCAATGCAATGGTCTTGTGAGCTTAGCATAATCAGTTTACCTGTGTCAATTTCATTACTGTTTATAAATAGGGATGCTGCCTCATGGGAAAAGAAAGGCTCCCTGACTCCTTTTCCATCTTCAAGCAGAGTAATTCACCATTCAAATCTATTCTGAAAGCACACAGAATTTATTCCAGGGGACTCTGAAAGACGGGTCTGCTCTCTGCGGAGCAGCAGTTCCACTGGGTTTGATTGAGCTGAACGTATCCCAGGTTAGGTGTTATCCACCCTCAGCTATTCATTTTGGCCGCCTTCTCCATCAGAACCATGTTTGAAAATCCCTTTATCTTCTTTTGACCCTGCTAGGCTGCTACCCAAAGGAATACACTCTAATCCTCCTCTGCCTGTCTGGAGAGATTTAGCTCCCTGTGAAAGGGGTTTCAAAGTAGACTCTCAGCAGTTCTGGAAAGGAAACTGATGCATTGTTGTTTATAAATAAGTGGGTCACATTTACCTGTGTTTGTGAGTGACACTGAGAAGTTTCAGGAAATTCACAAATATATGTATGTATTATTTATACACATGTGTATATCTAATATGCAAATGTGTGTATCCACACACGTGAGCTCCTTAGCAGTCAATATTTCATGGAGAATGGAAATGACAAATTTCCATAAATTTGAATACAGCTAGATGCACATTCCAGAAGAGCTTGAATTAGAGAATATTCAGCACCAAAAAAAGTTGCCCTTTTCTTATTTTGCGATACAATTAACTCACATAAGGAAAAAATTGTTCCCCAATATGACCCTAAGGGAATTTGCTTTCATGCAGGAGAAAGAATTTTTTTTTTAATTAGACTCATTGCATGGTACTTTAAAATGTGGCTTATGCTTTATTTCACTGCCATTTAAAATATTTATTTTCTAGACACTTTTATGCTATGTGTTGGTATATATTAATCATGCAAAACAATGGGTTTCATTATAACATTTTCATACGTGGATATAAAATACTCTGGTCATGTTCACTCCCATGACCTTTTCGTGTTCCCTCAGCCATTGTTCCCTTCTTCCTCCCAAACAAGCTTTCTCATGCTTCACATTTTGCTTTCTATCTATATGAGTATGTGTGTGTGGTGTGGTGTATGTGCATATGTGTGCTCAGGTGCGTCCACCTGCATGGGCACAGGACAGAAAAGGATGTCAGGTGTCCTGCGCTGTCATTCTGCACAGTCCTCTTGTCTCTCACTGCATGTGGAGCTAGTCATTGGTGAGCCTGACTGGCCAGCAAGCGCCGGAATCTCTGTTTCTGCCCTCTCCCGGGTACTGGAGGTAGGTGTAGAGGACAACACCCAGCTACTCCAGGTGGCTCTGAACTGTGGTCCTCAGGCCCGTGCAGCAAGCACTCTTATCTGCTCCATCATCTCCTCATCTCCCCATCCCCTTTAAATCTGTAATTTAGATCCCACATTTAAAAGAAAAGGTGATGTTTGTTTTCAGAGTATGGTTTATTTTACTTAATATGATGCTCTCCCATTGCATCAATTTTCCTGAATGTGACAAGATTTCCTTATTCTTTGTGACTGAATAACATTCTCTAACACTTTACACTGCATCTGTACCTATTGAAAATAAGCAAATTGCCTCTTAGGAACAATCCACACCAAATTGTCAGACCCACTTTGTGCCATGCTCAGTGAGATAATGTGGATGTGGGCAAACTTCTCAGAAAACACAAATTGCTCATCTGTGAGGATACTGTCAAACCATTCCCAGGAAAAGGCTATATGAACAAGACAATGTGAGCACAGTGCCTGCTGAAGAGGCCTCCCTGTTCTCTCGGATTCCCTCTGCCTTGCTAAAAGCCATTAGATTACATTCCTAGAGCTAGCCACCAAGATCTATTCCCTTATTTGGCCACTTCCTCCTCCTGAGGCTGATTACTAAGGTCCAACTATTGATGTATTGAAGTTCAGCAATAAAAGCTCCCTTTGACTTACCTAATTTATGTGCCCAGTTAAAGTTAAACACCTCATCCTAACACAGGGTTTCCCCTTTACCTTTATACACCACCGTTTGTCTATGGTCCATGCCTGTCTTCTCTCTATCTAGAGGCAGTTCTTTGTCCTCTCTCTCTTTGTTCCTTTCCTTTCTCCCTCTTCCTCTATCTGCTGTCTTTGTCTCTTATTCCCTGCCCTCAGTCCCTCTGGAGCAATGAATCTTCTTTGTGCTGAGAACTTGGTTTTGGGGTGACCTGGGCCAATACTTTTCTTTTCACCCACTGCTTACAGAAATTTGAGAAATGTAGATTTCCCTTGTTAAGCCAAATTTTCCACGTGTCCCTGAATGTGGAAACAATCGAGATCAAATTAGGAAGATGCTTTCTCTGTGATTTCTTTCCTAGCTGCACTCTCCCCATGGGCTGCGCATATCATCAATCTCTCATTATGTTTCCCTAAAATATACTTTTTAAATGGGATATGGTAAATTCAAGAGGAATAGCTGGCTTATTGTTTTCCTTTGAAAACATATAGTACCAGATGAGAACGACCAGAAAAGCAGTTACTTTCCTTTAATTAAAATACTATTACTGGTTGAAAGTTATTCGTTCTTATGTAAGTCAAATGGGAGAGGCATTCATGAGTTTGCACATTAATATGACAGAATAAAATACATTAAAAATATCCTGTCTCAATATACTCCTTGTTCAATTATTAATTGGCTGTCTTTTAACAAAGTGTCTAAATTCTCTGATAACCTAGTTTGACAAAATTTGAAAGTAAATATTACTATAGAGGTTAGAATCTGAGATGCCTGCAAGGTGAGGCAGTTGGATGTGGTATTCATTGCTGGCAGCTAACTCAAGGTTTTTCAAAAGTGGTCCAGCCTTGTCCTCCACATTAGATGCTCTTGTCAGTTTCCACTCACTTGGATTTAAGTAACATCAGCAACAGCCTTGTCTGTAATAAATGAGTCTCCACACACTCCATTTCTCAATTTGTCTATTGTAGAGGTTTGTGAGACTTCAGCATTCCCTGAGCTCCTAAACGTAGACCTGATTAAAGACAGAGTATATCTGCACTGTAGCATCAAAGGGTGAGGAATGGAGAGCTTCTGGAAAGCCATTTTAAGTTCATGAATTATTCATTGCTCTGGAATCCTTCCCCTGACTTAGGAAACTCAGCATTCCATATGCAACCATCCACTTCACCTTGATCCTTCTTTCTTTCACTGGAAGGAGCTACAATTCCATCCAAATGAAAATGTGGATGTCATTGGCAAAGGTCATCATTGGCCCATTTTGTGCAGAA